ACAAACTCAAATCATGTCGTTCGAGGATTGCTAATATCCTTGTTGCTAATATAAAAAGCATAACACCGCCTGCTGTTTTCTTATTTTTTTTTCTCTCTAAAATCTTCCAGAATTTTTGTTATTTGTGTTTTTATAGTGTTTTGGAAAAACCAACAAAGACTTAAGGTCCCATATCATCAGCCAGTAATTTCATTTGACTGCGTTTGCTTTGCAGACAGTGATAGTTAAGATGTGGAAATTTCAGGTTTTTACGGTACTTATCAGTTGAATTCAAAAAATTTTGATGGGTGATATTAGGCCCTAGATTAGTAATAACATTTTGAAAGAAGGCACTCAATCAACCCAGAGCTCCATGTAAAATTGGGAAGTCAATTGAAAGCAACAAATTTTGATCATTTTTGGTTTGATCATTTTCTTTTACAATCAATTTTTGAGTCTGGGCGTTTTTCATATAGCAATGAAAGTTTCCATCACGAATAAAAACACTTGACACAAGTGGGTTGTTTTTTTTTTAGTTTGCATAAGCACCATATTTCTAGCAACAGTAATGTCTGTAGAAATAAAAACATCTATTTCCTTTTGTTTCAGTTTTGATTTAGAATACAGAATGGCTTGTCATACCTTTCTTGTGACAAACCGCCTTATTTTTGGATGCTGCATATCGTTCCTTCTTTTTGGCAGTCTGTGGCACACAGAAAGGTCACTATACTTCATATCCAAACTCAGTTCGTTCCCACAGAGTTCACTTATCTTTTGCCCCAGCTGCCCTTGGTCTCAACTTCCTTGTTCTAGTCTGTAGATCTTCGTCTTTTGTAATTTTCAATTTCCTTTGACTTCACATAAGGAGCAGTATTGTCAGTCTTTCGTAAATACTTCACTACCAATTTTAGGTGTCCGAAACTCATGACAAACGCAGAAACCACACATGAAGTCTCTGTCAAGGATCTCCTTTGTGATTCGAGTTGGCAACAAAGTTGGGATCCAGGCGTGGCGTGCCTCACTGTTGTTGATTTTCACAGTGCAATCTATTTCATATAATCTGAAATCACGTTTATCTTTATCAGTGGCAGAAGTTTGAACTCTTTTCATATCCCCCTTTGCCAACTTAATGTTAATCTGAAGTTGACTTATTAAACATGGATTGCCTGTTTAATATGTTTATCAATACAATTAGGCAAAATATTAAACAACAATTTTGCAATAAGGACGATGCACAGAAACGCGAAAACATTTGAAAATTACTTTTTATCAAAAATCTCTTCGTTAGCCTTAAAGTTGTAATGATTTCGTCGACCTGATGTTGCGAGAAGCACCCATGGCTTTGGTAGAGACGGTTAAAAGAATGTGAAGCTCTGTTTATGCGCAAGCTATTCGTTTTAGAACTTAGCTTTTTAAGAAGAAGAAGAAGAAAAGCATTAAATTAACATCTGAAGATAACATCAGATATACTAAAAGTAAGAAACTGTGATGAAACTGTGATGGAATGATGAGGTCAAGCAAAATTTCGATTAGAATCCGAAATTTCATTCCGGTGAAGCGTTTTGTAGAAATATCAGTAATTTGTAAGCCAAGTTATAGAGCCGTACTAATAGCGCTTATATTCCGAGACCTCTCAGAGATTTCTTCTTCTTCTTCTTCTTCTTCTTCTTCTTCTGCTTTAGCCTTGGGTCAGTTTCTAAAATTTCCACAAAAGTCTGTCAGGAAACATAGATACATACACCTTTTTGACTGCCACATCGGCAGTCGGTAGCCGTTTTCTTGACCTTTCAAAACAGTAATCGCGCCTATGCGGCAATATGTCATATAGTTGATGCTTCGAACCAGTTTTAGTGATAATATTCAGAAGCCTCGCGTCTTTGACTTTAATGTGTTCTTCGATACGAGCAAATTCTTTTATAATACTCATACGAACAGGAAGTTTTTGAACAGCGTCCACTTTTCTAAGAACCGTTTTCGCAGTGTCGCCCTATACTTCCGAGCCGTATGTTAAGGTTGATATAAGAAGTGACTGATATAGCAAAGAAAGGTCATCTGCACATCCAATCGCTTTAGGAGCAAGAACAAGAACCGGTTTGAGGAAGTTCTACTGGTTGCCTTGGATTTATGTGGAAGAAAATTGAACCTGCTGTCTATAATAATCCCCAAAACTTTCATATTTTGAACCAGCGGTATGCTTTCGATATCTGAGCAGATGAAGGGTACCTTTTTCTTGAAATTGAACCTCATTTCTTTGGATTTAAGGGTGTTGACAATAAAATTATGATCCATACACCACTTGAAGATTCCTTCGATAATGATTTGACGAGGGTCGTCGAGTCCTCTAACGCCGATTACCGGATTGTTGTCGTCTGCAAACTTAACTAGACAAGCTTTTTCGTAAAGACACTTCAAGTCGTCGAACGACATATTGAAGGACGGTGGTCCAATTACCGTCCCCTGAGGTACACCTTGGTTGATGGAGTCTGGTTTTGACAATTCGTTCTGATTTGATACAATCTGCAGTCGGTCAGATAGAAAATTTTTCAGCCAATTCACTACATGTGTATTGACTCATAGGTTTATCTGTTTGATCTAACTAATTATAAAATTATGGGGCACTCTGTCGAATGCTTTGGACAGGCCCAGCGAGAAGAGACGTACACCAACTTAATGATAAGTATCGAAGTCACGAACTGTGTGTAGTATTCGAATAGCAGCGTTAATGGTTGAGCCTCCGGTTCTGGAACCAAACTGATAATTATTCAATGAAGTTTCGTAGTTTTTTTATGAACCTGGTATAGACCAATCGCTCAAAGTGTCTGCTGAGTACTGGTGCGATTGATATTGGCCGTAATTGGTCAATGCTGTCTGGTTGCGGGACTTCGACTAGAGGAACAATTTTTGAAATCTTGAAAGTGGTGGGGAAAATACCACTTCTGAGTGATAAATTGTAGATGTGTTGAATACTAGGAGCTGAGTTATGGGCATTTTTGCTCAAGACCCACGCTGGAATGCTATCAAATCCCACTGCACTTTTTTTGAGTTTTCTCAGATTGTGATAAGTTTCGTGAAGAGTAAAGGCTGGGTAAGCGCCGTTGTGACTTTCTATAATTTCTGATTCTACATAGTTGTCTATATGGCAAATATTAGAGAAATATTCATTGATATCATCAGGAGTAAAGTCAAATGTCGCCAAATCTTAATTGGTTCGTCCCGTGGTCTGGTTCACAAGACGTCACCAGTGTTTCGAATCTTTACGATTCGTATTTCTCAGATTATCGCGTATCAATGTATTTATTTTGATTTCCAAACCAGCACCTTTCTGATATTTTTTTAGAGAATACGCTCTGTTTTTCTGCCTGGTGAAAACTTTTATCAGTGGGGTGATTTAAAAAGTGTCTCTGGTGCTCATTTTTACTTTCTTTAGCGGAAAGCAGTGGTTAAGTTCAAGAATCAAAACCCGAATAAGTTCATCCATTGCATTGTCAACATCAGTGTACTCCAGAATATAGTCGAAATCTTAATTATCCAAGGCAAGATTGAAAGATTGTCGATTTCTATATCGCTGGTCACAAAAAATCCTGATTTTTAGAAGTTTTTTGGTCTGTTTGAAGGAGAACAAAATACAGCTAGATGATCAGTTGGCGTGGTGAGACTACTCAGTTGAACATCTTGGAATGGAGATGGAATTGACGTGAGAATTTGGTCAAGCTGAGTGCGTCCTCGTGTAGATGCTTTAAAAACCTGCTTGAAACCGAATAACAAAGTTATGTCGAATTAATTAAAATCTCCGCTCAAAAAAATTCCTGAGCGGGACAATGATCTGAATGAATAACCAGCAACACTGGAAAAACGGATAGATAAGTGATCTGGGGGTGATACAACAGTGCAGAAACGTACACTCGGTGGTTCAGAATGAACGAGAAACAGAGAATTTCAAAGTCTTCACCCCCATAGGGGAAAAACTGGCATACTCTGAATCCATCTCGGAACATACAACTACGCCACCACCAATTTTCTTGTTAGAATTTCTTGTCGTCCTTTCAGACCGCAAAACACTGTAGCCATCGATTTCGATAAAACTGTTGTGTACTTCTGAATTGAGACATGTTCCTTTAACAAAACACATATCAATACCATTGCAATTATATCAGCAGCTAGACGCTTAACGCAGTGTGGTTTTTTTGAAGGATCTAACATTTATTAACATTAGTTTTGGAGCTAGCCAAAGGTTTGATTTAACTGTTCCATCTCGTTGAAGGCGGAAATTAACATTTTTCAGCGTTGATTTGTCAACACCACTTTTGATCAGTTCATATCTCTGTTTCAGTGCCTGTTTTTCTAGATTTTGTCTGTTGTCAAGTCTTTGCTTATGAATACACCTGATATGTATTAGAGTTTGAAAGCAACAGCTTTGCGGAGAACTAACTTGGCGTCCCAGTTGCGAATAAATTCATCAATAATTGCCCTTTTCTGTCAGCGCTATATCGTCTCAACCTTGTTATATTCACAACAGGCACCTTGAGGTCCAGAGAGTAAAGCAGGGTTTGGACCGAGTTTTGCTCATCCATTTGTCTTTGAGAAGGCTCTTTGCTTGTACTTTCAGTGACACTTTTAAAATGCAAATGTTTGCCAATAAAGTCGTGCGATGGCGCCGCTCTTTGACCTTTTGTTCCGATATCCTGATTTGCATGTGAAAAAACCTTTGATGTCATGCGCGTTAGCAACAACGGCTTGCTTTGTTTCTTGAATCTCCTCAAGAGTTTTCTTTCGATCCAGCAGATTACTTTGTTTAGTTTCAACAGCAGGTAGGCATCTTGGACAGTGCCATTTACTGGCAGGTATTTTGATTCAACATCGACTTCTGTTTGCGTCAGGTTGACGCATACCGGATGCCACCAGGAATTGCAAGAGTCGCATCCAGTAGATGTTTGACCAGTCGTTGTTTTGTCGTACTAAGGACAGTCATCCTTGAGGTTCTTTGCATTCTTCTGCTTGGATTGTCATCCCATATCAAATCAATTTAATAAGTTTATCACAACAGTTACAGCCTTGCAGCGGCTGAAATTTCGGGTCAATCTCGACTTCATGGCAAACCTCGTTCATGAGGTTGGCGAATGTCTCTAGTTTCAGTATGTGATATGTTTGTCTAACCGCTCTGCCCCGTTTAGGGCATGCTTCAGGTTGAAATTTGCATCACATTCACATGTTAAAGGGGTTTTGGTCGGTTCCAATCGTATCCATCCGTAAACACCATCTCTGAAGTTGGATTCTTTCCGTTTGAAGTTGTATCTGCTCAGTGTTCAAGCAATGAGCCATTTAAAGGCTTCTTTTTCAGAGGCCAGGTCAACAGCAAAAAAAATCCAAAAAACTGTGGGCATTACCTTCAAAGTCAGTTTGCTTATTTGCAGAACTCCCATATCATTTTTTTGGGAAAGGTTTTGAATTAACCATCAGTATAAAGTATAGAGAAATACTGAAAATGTACAATTTATGCTGGAATGATATTCGATGAGGTATGTTTATTGATTGTGGCACAAAATGTTTATGTCGGTGTCTCGGGTACTAGAGGACGTGTATTGCTGTTTCTTCCGGTGTCCTCTCAAGGCTATCAAGGCAGTTTTCAGGATGGTGAAGGAGAGCTTCTTCTGGGTATAGTTCATAGTGTCCGCATACGTACAGTTCAGCTTCTCCCTCAGTTTTTCCGCCAGTATAGCATGATATCGCTCTGCCTCCTCACCCATGGCGCCGTTGGTCGCAAAAATCAAGGGGGTAAAAGAGGCATGCTCTACCTGCAGAACGCGGTCGTTGTATTTGACTTTTTTTCCGATTCTCATGAGTCTTTAGGAGTGGCTTTAGTTTTCGGTTCCTATTACTTGGAGCGTTTGGGTGTGTGAAACGGACGTCAAGAAACATTTTCTGCCGCGGCGCCCAAAAACCTCGACAAGAAATATCCAGTCTTGCATTGTCTTCCAGATTGCTTCCACTTGCAAGTTCTTCATTTCCCGTCAATTGGATCAGACCGGGCTCAACGCTCTCATCCTTGCACACGTTACGTAGAAAGTCGGCTTTGACGTCGCGGACAGCGTTGTGACGCCTTATGACGAAACCACCCAACTTACAAATCAAGGCATGGTCGATATCATTTGCCACGCCACACTCACAAGTTTAAGCCATTCCTTTCAGGTGCCATCCATATCGGAGACATAGCGCATCCCGGAACTCGTCTCTGTTCAAGTAAAAATTCTGCTCCCTATATGGCAGAGAAGTCAGCCATGCGGATGTTCCTTTTGGCTGTAGCAGGTCTAGCGTGCGCTTCATTTCATTCTCACTTCTGATAAAATCCTGAAATTTTTTCGTTGATCATTAACAAGAATGATTTCTTTTATGGTTTCTTATGGGGTAAGTTGCTTTTTTAGATATTACATTTGCAAATCATATAATCTTACACAGACGCGGATTTACGGGGGGGGCTTTAGAATGGGGTCTTTATAGTGATTTGGGAGAGCTCAGAAAATCAATTTTGTCTATCTAAAAAAAAGCTCGACAAAATTGTCAAATTTATTGCGAATCCGCCCCTCATCGTGAAAATATTAGATCCGAGCCTGATCTTACATCAAACAATCAATCTTAAACACACGCAATTATCGCAACGAAATCTTGACAAATTTCTATGGTTTTCCGAGACCAACGTGTTCAATTTAAACGACCTTGCAATCTTGCATTGGATCAATGTGACTTTACTCAAATTCTGCATACAAATGAGGTCAATCCGGCGGTTTCAGAATTGAACCATATCCTCACCTCGTATTTTAACCATTTCTGTCTCTTGCGTCGGGTTTTTCTACGAAACACTGAGCCACCATTGTCACACCAGTTGTAAAGCTTTTGCTTAAAAAGAAAAACAAGCTATTCAAGAAAAGGCGATTTAATGATGCTTTAGCGGTTGCTGCAGAAATTCGCCACCAGATTTTTTCCAATAACTCTCGGAACAAACAAAGGGAAGCAAATCGTGGTGGAAGCAAGTCAATTATTATGTGAAACGTGAACAACCCGTCATTGAAAACCACTTCGACGCAAAAAGACTGAATTCTCATTATAATAAAATTAGCACTAATCTCGTAAACACGCGGCCTCAAATCTATGACACACATGGCTACCAACTTCCTGTTGTTCATGTACGCCAGGGGTTTAATTACATATCAAAGTTGAAAAAAACTACTGTTGGCCCTGACGGTCTGCCGTATTGGTTATACCGTGAAAACGCCCATAGTCTAGCAGAGCCCTTGACGCACATTTTTAATCTGTCTTTATCAAGTTCGGTTTTTCCTGAAACTTGGAAAATTGGTTGCATAAAGCCTATTCCGAAGTGCCCCGTCCATCTAAGTTTTCTGACCTGCGGCCTATTTGTCTGACTCCTATTATTGCTCGTGTGTTTGAGTGAATTGTCTTTGACAACTTTGTATCTGAGCGATATCACTCAACCCTGTCGAACGATCAGTTCGGTTTCCGAAAAGGTTCCTCAACAACGTGTGCGCTTATCAAGCTTCTAAACGATGTGTACTACATCCGTTCAGAAAATGACTACGTTCGAATCATCACTCTTGATTTAAGCAAAGCGTTCGACTCTATTTCCCATCGTGCTATTATTGATGGACTTCATAAGTCTCATTATAGCCCCTTTCTTATAAACTGGTACAACAGTTTTCTTTCTGGTCGCAATCATTCGACTCTTGTAAACGATCAACTATCTCGTGAACTAACTACCAGTCAAGGCGTTCCGCAAGGAACAGTAAACGGACCACCGCTTTTAAACAGTGGTACAAATAACATATCAGTCACAACTGACATTCCTGAAAGACGGTGTAGACTCACTAAATTCGCTGACGATTTTACCCCAGTTGTCGGAGGTCGCTTAGGAGAACATGAACATGCCAGTGACGTTATTAATGCACTCGAAGTCCAGTTTAACTCCAAAAACTTGACGCTGAATGACGGTAAAACAAAAGAGGTTCTGTTATCGTTTAAAAAAGGTCAACAACCTAGAACTATTCCTGGAGTTGAACGTGTGACGTCGCGAAAGATACTCGGTGTCAGATTTGACGAAAATCTGTCGTTCAAGGAGCACATTACTGCTATCTGCAAAGCGTCAGTCTCATGTTTATATCTTTTGTTGCGCCTCGAACGTCTGAACTATACAGCGGAAGAGCTGAAATTACTTTATAATTCTTTGGTAATATCTCGACTAGCTTACTGCGCGTCTGTTTGGGGTGGTACTTATTCATATTTACTAGATCAAATAGACCGAGTTCAGAGCAAAGCACAATTTTTTGGGATTATTGACGAAATTGAACCTATTCGCGAAATTATCCGCAAATCTGACCAGGCCTTGCTACGCAAAATAACCGAGACCGGGTATCTGCATCAGCTATATCAAATCGTACCACGCAGAACGGATTATGCCGCGGATATGCTGCGACCCAGAAACGCTGGAGTTATGAAGACTAAATTGGAAAAACAACTGTGTTTTCCCTTCGAGAGTTTTAAGAGGAGTGTACACTTAAATTTGTAAACATGTATTGGATGTATTATCCGATTTAAATAAAAGTTTTGTCGTTGTTGTTGTTGTTATCGCCTTTCTAGACTGTTCTGGAATTTTCGCGTTCTTCGTTTTTATAATTTAATAAAATGGGTACCTTTAATAATGAAAAGGTGCCGGCATTGAGGATTTCACATTCTACTTTTTCGATATGTAGGTTATGCATCTTTCAAGTCGCGGACAAGATTCATCAGAACTCTCTACTGGCATTTTATTCTCACCGTTTTATTTTTAAAATTAGTTCGTTCTTTTCGAAAATTACAGAAAACAAATTTGAAAACGAATGGAGCAAGATTGGAACTCGGAGCAGCAATCAGAACAAACGAAGCGAAAATAACCAAGAAAGCAAGAATAACCAAGAAATCAAAAAACAAGCAACCAATATTCAAGAAGAAAAATTCGACCAGCAACGAAAACATTTATTTTTACCACGAGAAGGAGAATATTGTGGCCTATTACTGGGAGACTCAATTGTTAACAGAATCAATGGGGAACAAATATCGGAAAATGTGTTGGCGAGAGGATTTGGTGGGCACAAAATTTCTGCATTGCTGGAACGCGTGAGAAACAGTAAATCGCGACATTTTAAACATGTAACTACGCTAATTGGAATAAATGACTGCCTCTCACATGATTTCGACGCGAAGGAAGCCGTGAGTAGCTTAGAAAAACTAATTTATCTCATAAATCATAAATTCTCCCCAGAAACAATTTCACTATGTACTGTAACTCCCTTAGGCGCTTTTAGAAAAGATTTTAATCCAAATGTACAGAAGCTAAACAAGCAAATTCTTAATTTAGTACGGAATGTAAAAGACTTGGGCGAAGTAAAATTGGATATTTTAGACATAAACAAAAATTGTAGTCAAAATACCGATGCTCTTAGCTCGGATGGTTTGCATCCTTCTGATGGGGGTGTTGAAATTTTGGTGCAAAGTTTTAGAGATTCTTTTAGAGGTTCTGATATTAATGCAAACACAAACACATGTGAGATTACAACCCGCCCCAGAATGAAGCAAACCCAACAATCATCAAATTTAGATCCAAAAACAGCAGAAATGTTACAATTTTTCCAAAACGGTGCAAAATTTTTTTAGGAAATACTAGTTTCGCATTTTTTCTTGGTGCAAACACTGGCGATTATTTAATTTATTTAACTTATTATGCTGAATATTAAATTCTGGTTGTTTTGTGCAATTTTTCTAATTTCCAAGGCTCAGATGGAAACTAAAGAAAAAACTATTGTTTACTGGGGCTATCTAAGCTGCCAGCAAAAGATATTATCAACGAAATGTGGGATGAATGAGCGGAGAGCTACCACACTGGCTCATCTTTTCCTTTTCGCGTTGTTACTGACCCAAAGTGGGGATGTTGAAAAAAACCCTGGTCCTATCGAAACCATTGAAACAGTCTACGGTATCTGCTCAAAAAATTGTGCAAATCT